TCTCTCTTTCTCTCTGACTCAGACTTTCAAATAAATAAATAAGTCTTAAAAATTATGTCAGCCATTGTCATAGACAAAGATTTCTTGTAAGACCCTAGAGGCATAGGCAATAAAAGCCAAAATCGACAAATGGGATTACATCAGATCGAGAAGCTTCTGCACTGTGAAAGAAGCAATCAGCAAAATGAAAAGACAACTGACAGAATGGGAGAAATTATTTGCAAACTATGCAACTGATAAAGGATTAATAACCAGAATACATAAAGAGCTCAAGAAATTTAACAACAAAATAAACAACCCAGTTTAGAAGTGGCAAAAGACTCAAGACATTTTTCAAAAGATGAAATCAAATGTCCAACTGACACATGAAAAAAAAATGCTCAGGATCACTAGCCATCAGGGAAATGAAAACCAAAACCACAGTGAGGGTTCATCTCACCCCAGTTAGGATGGCTTTCATACAGAAATCAACAAAAAACAGATGCTGGTAATATGTTTGGAAAAAGGTACCCTAATCCACTGTTTGTGGGAATGTGAGCTGGTAAAGCTGCTATATAAGAGAGTGTGGAGCACCAGTTTATATCAGTAACAATGTGGAAAAAAATGAATGTCCTGCTGTTGACTATTAGATAAAATGAATATGGTAGACAGAAAGATAAATACCACAAATTCTCCCTTAAATGTGGGAGCTAATTTTAAAATAATCACAATATGAAAATTTGATAAAGCACTTGGAGATGTGATGCCATTGAACAGCCCTTTTCTCAATTGTTGAGGAACAGTTTGTTTTTTTCATACTACTTGTTGAACTCTTACTTAGTATAGAATTAACCTTATGTGTATAAAGTTAATTGAAAATATATCTTAGTAAAAATAAGAATGGGAATTGGGTAGGAGGGAGGAAGAAGTGTAGGAGTGTGGGTGGAAGGGCAGGTAGGGTGGGAAAAATCACAATGTTCCTAACGTTATATTTCTGCAATGCATGAAGTTTTGACACCTTAATTAAAAAGGTTCTGGGGAAATAAAAGAAAATTCATTTTGGCTGTGAAAAAAAACAGAAATTTTAGAAGAGAAATATGTCTGTGTGTACCATTTGGGCTGCAAATACAGTGTTTTTGCAATACTTTGTTTTAAATCCTTGTTGAATGAATTATTAAGAACTAAACAGTACTCTAGCATTAATATTCTATGGCAATTTTAAAATTTTCAGTATATGAGGGAAGCTGAACATCTTTTCATTGGATTATTGTTTATAACCCTGCCTATTTTCCTACAGTACTATGGTCTTTTTGCTTGGTACTTGTTGAACCCTTTATTTAGTGGAGCATTAAGCCTTTGAGTCAAATGCAAACTAAAACTATGTTATCTAAAAAATAACAATAAAATATTAGGTTGAACAAAAACAATGAAAGAGAATAAAATTGCAAAACAAAATGATAAAAATCAGTAAGATGGAGTTTGAAAAAAGAATTGATAAAGCCTGCTGCAATGTGGATGGGTTTGAAGCCAGACTCTTATGCCACATATTGACTGCTGCCACTTGTCAGAATTATTCAAAAAGGTAAACTCTTAGAAACTGAAGGAGATGATTGCTTCCATGATATGAGTTTGAAAGTGATTTCTTACTGCATAATACAATTTTTACGGTGATGAAAATCACTTCACTCCACATAGAGAAGACTATTGCACGAATGTGTGAACATACTGTGCACAATCTGCATGTTCAATATGAATATGCATGCACTTAAATGCTTTTGACTTGTCCAGTTTAAAATTGGTTTGTTTTTGCTATGAGAATTTCACATTAATCCAGCCTTGTGTCCCATGTGCAACTGGAAAAAGAAAACTTAAAACAAAGACAAAACAAAAACCAATACATTGACAGAAGAACGTACAGTTACTAAGTCAGTGCCATGTGTAAATGAATATCCCATATATGTGTGATAAAAGCACCATTTCAAAAATCTTAGCAATGAGCATTTATTAAGATATTTTTGGGCAACACAATATCTCAACCACAGCCACAAAACACGTGTCCTCACACGGGGAAAACCCCAGTGCTGCCACCGCCACTGGTCATGGGCAGACCCCAACCCCACAAAACCCTTGTGGGAACATGGCAGTGGAACTTTTAAAGGGGACCCCCAGGAGGGTGAGCAGCCCGCAGTGGCAGAGAGCAGGGATGGGGGCCATACTGGGGCCATGGGGGCGAGGCGCAATATCTCTACAGAGGAACACTGTATGACCAAGCACCTCCTGTGTCTGGAAAAGAAATCTCACTTAAATGACAATGTCAACAAAGAAATGATAAGCACTCAATAGCCAGGGAAAACAGAATGTAAAGCATGTATAATTGGATGTCTTAGCAAATATGAATGCTTACATTGTCTGTATATTGATAAATAAATAGAAAGTAATTCAGTCTTTACCATTTCAGGGCTAGCCTTTTAAAATAAAGTAGCACTGTTGTTGTTGCCCTGATGGGCATTTACACCATAATTTATCTTCACTCAGTATAAAATTTTTCTCTAAATTCCATAACAAACTCTGAGATGGAGAGAAACAGAAGGTTAGTGACAGATAGAGACCTCCCATTCAATGCCTCACACCTCTACACCCCCAATGCCTGTGCCTGGGCTGAGGCTACAACCAATAACAGGTAGTCAAACACCTAAATTTTCACAAGGGTGGCCAGGATCAAGTTAATGTGAAGATTCACCACTTCCTTCCAGGGTCCCAGGAGTCAGAAGTCCAGGTCAAGAGCCAAAGCCAGAGCCAAAAATAGATGCCATGCATGCACTCAGATTGCTAGGCTAAATGTCCAATCCACAAGTAGATTTTAAAGGAAATATCAATTTTAGTCCTTCATATTTCTGGAATGATATTTCAGAGTAGATTGTTGGGTCTAAACTCCAAATATTTGATAGCAAATCAAGTGGAAATCTTTAGAATCATTTACAACTTGCTTTTTTTCTTTAAGTCTTTCAAATTGTTCTCAGGTCTTAAAAGAATAACATAGCATTTGGGGACAAATATGCAGCCTAGGAGCCCTGCACTGGATGCCAAGATGGAGAAGACCTCCACGGCCACCATGACTTTCCCCTTGGTGCTGTGGTAGACAGGCAGGAAAGTCACCCAGACACTGCAGAACATCAGCATGCTGAACGTCAGGAACTTGGCTTCATTGAACGTGTCAGGCAGATTCCTGGCTAGGAAAGCCACAGTGAAGCTGGTCAGGGCCAGCTCCCATGAATTACCACAGACTAGACCACTCTAGACCCGTGGATACTGATGACATTGTTTATAGATGAAGAGATGACTTAGAGGTTTCAATTCTGGGCTCACTGAGAAGCAAAACCCAAGTAACCCCACAACTGACCTCCTACATTGCATCTAAACAAAAAAGTTTTCCAACTGAAGTTACTCTACAAAGAAAGAGGAACTGCCCCACTGCATTTACAGATGTCAGTGTAGGAACACAGTACAGATGAAGAAGCCTAGAAGCATGACAGCTCCAAAAGGATGAAACAGTTCTCCATTAATAGATACTGAGTTGAAGGAGATATATGAACAAATAAAAATAAATTCAAAATAATTATCCTTAGGAATCTCAATGAGATATCAGGGAACACAGATGGTCAATTCAAAACAATTAAGGAAACAATATATGATATTAAACATGTCATAAGCAAACAGAAGAAATCATTAGAAAGAATTAAACAGAAATTTTGGAGTTGAGAAATTACACCAATGAAATAAAAATACAATGAACAAAAATAAAATTGGACAGTAGGAGAAAAAAATTGCTGACCTTGAGATCAAGATTTTTGCCATCATCCTATCAGGCAAAAATAGAGAGAGAGAAGTTTAAAAAAAAAAAAAGATAGCCTAGGGGATGTATGGGCTATCATTAAGTAAACAAATGTTTGTGTTACAGGAATAATCATAGGAATAGTCATTGAGAACTTCTTAAATGAAATAATTGAGATATTATTTGAAATACACACACATATATATAAGAAATAATTATTGAAAATTTCCCCAGTCTTGTATTTTATATGAGCAACCACATACAGGAAGTTCAAAGGACCTCAACAAGTTTCAACGAATGAAGACTTTCTACAAGGAATGTTGTAGCCAAATTGTCAAAAGTTAAATGACAGAGGCCGGCACCGCGGCTCAACAGGCTAATCCTCCGCCTAGTGGCACCGGCACACCAGGTTCTAGTCCGGGTCGGGGAGCCGGATTCTGTCCCAGTTGCCCCTCTTCCAGGCCAGCTCTCTGCTATGGCCCGGGAGTGCAGTGGAGGATAGCTCAAGTGCTTGGGCCCTGCACCCGCATGGGAGACCAGGAGAAGCACCTGGCTCCTGCCTTCAGATCCGCACCGTGCGCTGGCTGCAGTGCACCGGCCGCGGCGGCCATTGGAGGGTGAACCAACGACAAAGGAAGACCTTTCTCTCTGTCTCTCTCTCTCATTGTCCACTCTGCCTGTCGAAAAAAAAAAAAGTTAAATGACAGAATCCCAAAGACAGTGAAACATAGACATCAAGTTTCACTTAGACTAATAGCAGATTTCTCAGCAAAAACCTCTTGACCAGAAGAGAATAGGATGATATGTTCAGGTCTTGAGAAACAAAATTCCAACCAAAAATGCTTTATCCAGTAAGCTACCTTTTAAAAGTGAATCAGAAATAAAATCATCATCTTCAATAGCTTCTCCAGTAAAGTATAACACTGATCTTGGGATTATACGTTCACGTAAAAAGTGACCAATTTCAAAGTCTGCAGCAAGGATAGCTTCAGCATCATCATCCAAATCTCTGCTCTCAGGAACTTCAGGAGGGGCAAAAAAATTAAAGAAAGAGTCATTGGAAACTGTTTTAGTCACAGTACGAACTGTCCCATGTCCCTTGTGTTTCTGCTTCTTCTTAATGGTTTTCAAAGTGACATTCTTTCCTTTTTTCCAATCTATCTGGCACCCCATACAACCCATAATTTCTGAAGATGATGATGATGATTATGATGAAGAAGGTGAAGAAGCGGATGAGGAAGGGGGAGAAGAAGGAGATGAGGAAAATGATCCAGACTATGACCCAAAGAAGGATCAAAACCCAGCAGAGTGCAAGCGGCAGTGAAGCAGGTTGTATGTGGCCTTGAGGATAACCTGCACTGTAATAGCCTAAACACAACTATTATTTACTTAGAGCCTTATGTTTTTGTATTTCCTTGGTAGATTCAGTAATTTTTTTAAGGGAAAGGAATTCATACTTTAAAGATCAATTTGTTCTACCTAGCATTTTAACAATAGTTTTCCTGCAAGATATGTTGAATGCTCAAATTCTTTCATGCGTGTTCATTCATTGCTACATAGTTTGGTTCTCCTGGAAGTTTTTTGAAGTGTAGCTTTTGGAGTACAATTCTGAATTGCAGCTGTTTTTGTTTTGCTCATTTTTTTTTTCCTGAAGAACCAAAGTGTTTCTTCAGTTGGTAGTTGAATGAATTTGTCTGCTTACATTAGCTGTGCCTTTCATTAATTTGTTACAGAAATACAATGATTTATACTAAAACAATTCATATTTAAGAAAAAAAGAGACCAGATTTGTGGTGAAGAATTTCCAGTATGACCACAACCAATAGCTGTTAGATCGTTAATGGACTTTTCTATTTTTAGGCAGCATATAACTTTTTTTTTTCTGATCCATATTATATATGTTTATTCACTTCAATAAAATAATGGTTACATTGGCTTCTTGCTGTTTAAACCATAATCTTTTCCTGTTTTTTCATTATGAAATAATTTTCGGTTTAACCATTCCAGTACTTAAGAAATTTTAGGTACTTTTCTTATTGAGGTCAGTGCAGAACCTTTGCAGTCCAAGGATGGCAGCTTTCATCTGGTTTAGGCTTTCTGTTCTCTCCCCAGTACTGCAGGTCTAGTTGACTCAGTTGCAGTTATTAGGGTGAATTGTATCATGCAATTATAGAGGACTTGCTCCGATGTGTACTTCCAAAGAAGATCTCTAGGTACTTAACCTCCTTTAATTCAAAGTATATTCCAAGTTACACGTCTCAGTAAGATCCCAGATTTTTTACTGCCAAGTGTTTGCTCTGTGGCTCTGTATAGTTACTATGCATATGAAACAATATAAATGCCTTCAGTGTAGTGCCTCACATGAAGTAGGAGTTTAATAAATATTCATTTTCTTTAAATGAATTTCCTTACCAACCCATATGTTTTTCCCAGTAGTACTGTTATTTTTCAGACTATATGGTCATCACATTTTGGAATTGCTTTCCAAGTCAGAGTACAAGCTGTATCTGCAGATAATTATCAATATTTTTAGAAACAAAAAATCCTCAAAAATGTTTTGGAAAATGGAACTTTCATCAGAAAAAGTAAATGACTTTTTTCCAAGGCAACACTGACATTACTATATAGTTATAGTATCTTTTAAACATATTTTGCCATATTGCTTTGTATTTGTAAATAGTTGTTTTCTGGTTTTGTTTTTTTTTATTTTTAAAGATTTATTTATTCAAAAGTCAGAGTTACACAGAGAGAGAAGGAAAGGCAGAGAGAGAAGGTCTTCCATCTACCAGTTCACTCCCCAGTTGGCCACAACTGTAGGAGCTGAGCCATTCTGAAGCTAGGAGTTTCTTCCAGGTCTCCCACATAGGTGCAAGGGCCCAAGAACTTGGGCCATCCTCCACTGCCCTCCCAGGCCATAGCAGAGAGCTGGATGGGAAGTGGAGAAGGGGATTTGGGCACCACAGGCGGCAGCCTTACCCACAGGTGTCGGCCTTACCCACCACGCCACAGCACCAGCCCCTGTCTTTTCTATTAAACCCATTTGTTAAATTAGACTAATAGTACTAGAGTATATAAGAATGACCACTTGGGAAGAATAAAACAGTGTTTTAAACCATTAAATTGGGTTTCACCTTCCAATCTATTAATTATGTATGTATGTATGTATTTATTTTAGCCTTAATTTACTTAGGAAAAACAAACAGACTGTAGAAACTGCAGAAATATCCATTTTGATCCAAGGACTCAAATTGCCACATTTTTGTATGTCATTTTTTTCAAAGTTGACTTCCTAACATAATGTGCCGTGTACATTGTTGCCAGTCTGGGCAGCATATAATTTTTAACAAAAACCTCTAATTCATAGTGATTATTGGTTGCCCATATGGAGGTCAACAAAACGTAGGATTTTCAAGTTAGCCTGATATCTTACTGTACTTTTAAATGTAACCTCCATTAAATCCACTAAACATCTTTTCTTTGTGGTAGGGTCTACCTTCTGCTTCTCTGGAAAGGATGAATTTACATCATTTGATGAGCCTATTTCAAGTTTTTTGTTACTGTTTGTTTTGCTTGTTTTTGTTTTTGCAGCCTAAAATAAAAATGTCAAATACAATTTTAGTTTTCTAAAAAAGTCTTAATTTTGTACTAATTTAGGTTAGAAGCAAGGCTTAGTTTGAATTAAGGGTTGTGCCCAGTTAATCATATTGAAGAAAAGGGTGCCAACTTCAGAAAAGTATACTACCAGAAAACAAGTGTTTAAAAAAAAAAAACTTAAATGATGTAATACTTTTTTAAAAAGAAAAATTAAAAAGTTAAATTCCATTTCCTCATGTTTGGGACTAGAGAGAAGACCCCAAGCTTCTATGATTTATCTAATTCTTAGGCTTTTGTTTAGTATGTATTAAAATGGGTAGTACTGTTTACCTAACTACCTCACCTATGTGTTAAAGCATATTAAATCTCATGAAATGTTTCAGTCTGAATAAAACCTTGAAAATCTGAAAAAAAAAAGAAATAAAATCATTCCCAGACCAGCTAAACTGGGAAAATTCATCATTACCAGACAAAGAATCCTGAAGGGAGACCTACATTAGAATTAAAGGATCAGGGCTGATGCTGTGGCCCAGTGGGTTATTGCCTTGGGTTGAAGAGCCAGCATGCCATATGGGCACTGGTTCTGGAGTAGGCTGCTGCTCTTCTGATCCAGCTCTCTGCTATGGCCTGGAATAGCAGTGGAGAATGGCCGAAGTCCTTGGGCCTATGCACCCATGTGGGAGACCTGGAGGAATCTCCTGGCTTCTGGCTTCGGATAGGTGCAGCTCCAGCCATTGCAGCCATCTGTGGAGTGAACCAGAAGATGGAGGACCTCTCTCTATGTCTCTACTTCTCTCTGTAACTCTGTCTTCCAAATAAGTAAAATAAATCTTTAAAAAAGAATCAAGAATCTAATCAATAGATGCTTACAAAAAGAATTAAAGGATCATAACAATCGTCATGAAAACACAATGACAATACAAAATTCAGTAACATTGCAAATTCATAAAAGAGAAAGATAAGAAAATCCACCGTTATGACAGAAAGCTACCAAAACACAAAGAATGAAAAGAAAGGCAGAATGAAACATAGATTATGTAAGACAAGAAGTAAGCCATCAACAAAATTGCAGTAGTGAGTTCTCATCTCTCACATTAGCCTTGAAGGTAAATGGAATATATTCCCCAGTCAAAAGATACACCCTGACTGAATGAATAAAAAAAGTATACTGAACTCTACATGGCCCATAATAAATTCACCTCACAAGTAAAGATACACATAAACTGAAAGTAAAGGGATGCAAAAGATACAATGTTTCACTCTCTCAAAGACCACCAGGGCTTAATCAGAGAGACCTTGACCATCAAGCAGGCACAAAAATGTTAGTGTCTCTCCTAGGTCTCTGAAGGAGTAGGGAAGCAAGTAGAAGCAGAAAGATAGTGGAAGAAAAAACAACCATTGTGTGCAGAATTCTCAGAAATCTCATTAGTGATTGGACACAGGGAGGCACAAGCATACACTCACATGTAGTCATAACAACACATAAGACTTACACACAGCCTTAAACTTACCAAGATGCCACCACATTATACCCAGGCTTGAATAAAAAGGATAATTGGACCATCTCTCTTTCTGGTTCCATGTATAGGGAAAAAACACTCCCAGCACTAGGTCTCCATCTCTGAAGACACTTGGCTTCAGATACTCATGGCAGTTCTCAACAATTCTGTCCTGTGAATTAGATAAAGCCTGCAGGAGTAGGTAGAGAAAAATCAGAGGCAATGACATGTCACTGTCTCCCCAAACTATAGTGAGAGCCCTGAGTCTCAGCTGAGAGGAGGAGACACAGGGCTGGATCAGGTCTGAGGGCTCATCAATCAGCAGTGACAGTGGAGCTCTGTGTAGAGCACAGCTGACTCCAGGTATTGACGTGTGCCCTCTGCCTGTAGGAACTTGTGTGCCAGTCTGGTGAGCTAGACCAGAGCACAGCTAGAAGGAGAATGCAGAGTTCACAGCAAGTCACAGTGCTGAGACCTGGCTCTGAGTGTCCTGTGATCAGAGCTGCTCTGGGTTCCCTGTATTTTCAATGCTTCCCATTTTTTCTCATCCAGAAACTCAGGGGATCCACCTGCCTGAGGCTCTGCATCTGTTGTCCTCCATTATGGGGGAAAACCCTTTGGAAAAACATGTTTTGCACTTGTCTACCTCCTTTGCCTCTAGGGTTGCATGATAGTCCAACAAGGCTTTGGCAATCATAGCATCCTGGTACAGCAGCTCTGTGAAATAGTGTGCACAGTGGCCAAGGGTTTTGTGAATAGACAGCTTTGAGGAATTTGGCAGGGTTAGAAAAAGTTGGTGTTGGAATAACCAAAACACCCAGCTGCATCTTCCCACATGATGCTGTAGACATTAGGTGAAGGGCTGACATCACTCACAGATGACTTCGGACACCACAGGAATGCTCATCATTATCATGCCTAATGTCACTCCCAGGGCCACGGTATCCTGCTGCCAAAAAATGGGCTTCCTTATTAATAAGTGAATAAGCCACATTCCAGAGAGAGGAAGTAGTTCATCCCCCAATCTTACTCCTCTCCCACAGCTGATCTCCTACCCATCAGCCTGATGCCCTCCACAAAGAGAACACTAGAATCACCAAGCTCTCAACATGTTGTTTCAATGTGACAACTGAAAGAAACTGTGTTGGTTCTCAACCACTTATTTTCTGTGTTCCATAGTTATTTTCTCCCACTTTTCAGAGAAAATTTTACATGTGTATTTTCATTTTGAAATTCATAATTTTAAATTATGTAGATGTATCTCTACCAGAGAATGATTTGATATCTGTACACAATGTTGAGTGGTATAATACAACTGTTTTGCATCTCAGCTTTATTTCACTGCCTTATTTTTTCTTGTGCTGACCACACTTAAAGGTCTATTGTGTCAAAACTTTCAAGTATACAACATGTTATTCACTGTGTTATCTCATGATTTGTGACAGTTCACTTGAACTCCTTGGTCTTGCCTAATTTTGACTGCTGTGATCAACATGTTCTTAGTTTCCCACCTCCTAGTGTTTCAATCACAAAGCTCTATTTAATTTTTTTGAACTTTTATTTAGTAAATATAAATTTCCAATGTACAGTTTATGGATTACAATGGCTTTTCCCCCCATAACTTCCCTCCCACCTACAACCCTCCCATCTCCTGTTCCCTCTCCCATTCCATTCACATCAAGATTCATTTTCAATTATCTTTATATACAGAAGATCAATTTAGTATATATTAAGTAAAGATTTCATCAGTTTGCACCCACACAAAATATAAAGTGTAAAATACTGTTTCAGTACTAGTTATAGCATTAATTCACATTGAACAACACATTAAGGACAAAGATCCTACATGAGGAGTAAGTGCACAGTGACTCCTGTTGTTGACTTAACAATTTGACACTCTTGTTTTTGGCGTCAGTAATCTCCCTAGGCTCTAGTCATGAGTTTCCAAGGCTATGGAAGCCTTTTGAGTTCGCTGACTTCGATCTTATTTCGACAAGGTCATAGTCAAAGTGGAAGTTCTCTCCTCCCTTCAGAGAAAGGTACCTCCTTCTTTGATGGCCCGTTCTTTCTACTGGGATTTCACTTGCAGAGATCTTTCATTTAGGTCCTCTTTTTTTTTTTGCCAGAGTGTCTTGGCATTCCATGCCTAAAATACTCTCATGGGTTCTTCAGCCAGCTCCAAATGCCTTAAGGGCTGATTCTGAGGCCAGAGTGCTGTTAAGACATCTGCCATTCTTTGAGTCTGCTGTGTATCCCACGTCTCATGTTGGATTGTTCTCTCCCTTTTTTATTCTATCAGCTACTATTTGCAGACACTAGTCTTGTTTATGTGCTCCCTTTGGCTCTTAGTCCTATCATTATGATCAATTGTGAACAGAAATTGATCACCGGGACTAGTGAGATGGCATTGGTACATGCCACCTTGATGGGGTTGAATTGGAATCCCTTGGTATGTTTCTAACTCCACCATTTGGGGCAAGTCCAATTGAGCATGTTCAATTTCAAAAAATATTTGTTTATTTATTTGAAAGTCAGATGTCCACCGAGATAGAAGGTAGGCAGAGAGAGAGAGAGAGAGAGAGATCTTCCATCTGCTGGTTTGCTCCCCAGATGGCCATAACAGCTGGAACTGTGCCGATTTGATGCCAAGCACCAGGCGCTTCTTCCAGATTTCTTCTGGATCCCCAAAATGCCTGCAGAAGTCCAAGGACTTGGCCATCTTCTACTGCTTTCCCAGACCACAGCAGAGAGCTTGTTTGGAAGTGGAGCAGCCAGGAGTTGAACTCATGACCATATGGTATGCTGGCACTGCAGTTGGGAGCTTTACCAGCTATGCCACAGTGACAGCCCCAAAAGCTCTCTTTCTGAAGTTGACTTTGGACACCAGTCCTAGGAATGAGGAAAGGATACATTCTTTTTTTGCACATGATGTATGTCATGCATCCGAATGACCTCAACACTCATCCACGTTGTCAAATAATAAGATTTTCCTTATTGGTAAGACTGAATAATATTGCAGTTTATATACAGACCACATTGTCTTTATACATTTATCTATTGATGGACACTTAGGTTGATTCCACACTTGGAATTTTTGAATAATGTTGCAATGATCATGGGAGTGCAGATGTTTCTTTCACATGCAAATTCCACATCCTTTAGATATATAATTTCAGGTAGCACTGGGAGTGCTGGGTAATATGAAGGTTCTATTTTTTGTCATAAAATTTTTATAATATTGATACTAATTTACCTTCCTACCTTCATCCTTGTTAACATTTATTTCTTCTATGTTTTTTAAAGATTTATTTTATGTATTTGAAAGTCAAAGTTACAGAAAGAGAGGAAGGGGAAAGAACAAGGAGAGAGAGAGAGAGAGAGAGAGAGAGAGAGATCTTCCATCCACTGGTTCACTCCTCCTAATGGCTACAACAGCTTGGACTGGACCAAGCCAAAGCCAAGAGCCAGGAGCTTCTTCCAGTTCTCCCATGTGTGTTCAGGGGCTCGAGCACTTGGAACA